GACTCTTTTCCGCCCATCAGGTACTCACTCACCTGGTGAGTCTTCCCAGTTATCCCCCGCTTGGTTCTCCATCTTGTACTCCAGCTTTTCATTAGCAGCAGTACCAAATGCTTTTTGACAAACTAAGAAAGTACACCCAGTAAATGGTATCCAGCCTTCTTTTTGCGGTCGTATTTTAGTAACCCCTGTCATAGGACTATCAAGTTTGATCAGGCATAACTTTTCCCATCTAAATCAATGCTGATCTTCTGTTACAAAGTTTGTCCTCTCCAGGTGTTCAGTTATTCTCAATGTAATTACTCTTTCCAATACTTTTCCTAAAATACTTGTCAGTGGGACTGGTGTATAATGTAGTGCCTTCTGTTTGTCCCCTTACTTGACTATTGGGACTACGTTGGCCAAGTTTCCAGTCTCAAGTGTTGTACTGGTGACAAAGTAATAGTAAGGGAGCCGGTCGGCCGTGCGGACAGCACGCTGTACTTGTGATCCTGTGGTCCTGGGTTCGATCCCAGGCGCCGGCTAGAAACAATTGAAATTGAAATTGAAATAAGTTTATTGAGGTAAAATACACACAAAGGGATGAGGTAGCTCAAGCTATTCTCACCCCGTTCAGTACAACGTGTTAGTACATACATAGACACACATCACAAACAATAAACCTGTTACCAGACATTCTGAGAGATAAACATGTACATTTCCTCCGGCTAGAAACAATGGGCAGAGTTTCTTTAGCCCTATTCCCCTGTTACCTAGCAGTAAAATAGGTACCTGGGTGTTAGTCAGCTGTCACGGGCTGCTTCCTGGGGATGGAGGCCTGGTCGAGGACCGGGCCGCGGGGACACTAAAGCCCCGAAATCATCTCAAGATAACCTCAAGATAACCCCTGAAATCACCTTCCACAGCCATTGTGATATTTAGTCTGGTCCTATTTATGTTGCTGCGTCTAGTTCTCGTAGGTACTGTAACCGGCTCTACAGTGACGCCCTCCGCTCTTGCAACCCCGGTCTCCACCCCGGTCTCCACCCCGGTCTCAACCCCGGTCTCCACCCCGGTCTTGCAACCCCGGTCTCCACCCCGGTCTCCACCCCGCTCTTGCAACCCCGGTCTCCACCCCGGTCTCCACCCCGGTCTCCACCCCGGTCTCCACGCCGGTCTTGCAACCCCGGTCTCCACCCCGGTCTCCACCCCGCTCTTGCAACCCCGGTCTCCACCCCAGTCTTGCAACCCCGGTCTCCACCCCGGTCTCCACCCCGGTCTCCACCCCGCTCTTGCAACCCCGGTCTCCACGCCGGTCTTGCAACCCCGGTCTCCACCCCGGTCTCCACCCCGCTCTTGCAACCCCGGTCTCCACCCCAGTCTTGCAACCCCGGTCTCCACCCCGGTCTCCACCCCGGTCTCCACCCCGCTCTTGCAACCCCGGTCTCCACCCCGCTCTTGCAACCCCGGTCTCCACCCCGGTCTTGCAACCCCGGTCTCCACCCCGGTCTTGCAACCCCGGTCTCCACCCCGGTCTTGCAACCCCGGTCTCCACCCCGCTCTTGCAACCCCGGTCTTGCAACTCCGGTCTCCACCCCGGTCTCCACCCCGGTCTTGCAACCCCGGTCTCCACCCCGGTCTTGCAACCCCGGTCTCCACCCCGGTCTTGCAACCCCGGTCTTGCAACCCCGGTCTTGCAACCCCGGTCTTGCAACCCCGGTCTTACAACCCCGGTCTTGCAACCCCGGTCTTGCAACCCCGGTCTTGCAACCCCGGTCTTGCAACCCCGGTCTTGCAACCCCGGTCTTGCAACCCCGGTCTTACAACCCCGGTCTTGCAACCCCGGTCTCCACCCCGGTCTTGCAACCCCGGTCTCCACACCTCCGGTCTCCACCCTGGTCTCCACGCCTCCGGTCTTGCAACCCCGGTCTCCACCCCGGTCTCCACTCCGGTCTTGCAACCCCGGTCTTGCAACCCCGGTCTCCACTCCGGTCTCCACCCCGGTCTCCACGCCTCCGGTCTTGCAACCCCGGTCTCCACTCCGGTCTTGCAACCCCGGTCTCCACCCCGGTCTTGCAACCCCGGTCTCCACGCCGGTCTTGCAACCCCGGTCTCCACCCCGGTCTTGCAACCCCGGTCTCCACGCTGGTCTTTTTGGTGAGGACCTCCTGAAATGTTGAGGTCTTCACCCACCATGTCCCTCACTACTGGTGATGGAGGAGTGAGGTGTCCCTCACTACTGGTGATGGAGGAGTGAGGTGTCCCTCACTACTGGTGATGGAGGAGTGAGGTGTCCCTCACTACTGGTGATGGAGGAGTGAGGTGTCTCTCACTACTGGTGATGGAGGAGTGAGGTGTCTCTCACTACTGGTGATGGAGGAGTGAGGTGTCCCTCACTACTGGTGATGGAGGAGTGAGGTGTCCCTCACTACTGGTGATGGAGGAGTGAGGTGTCCCTCACTACTGGTGATGGAGGAGTGAGGTGTCCCTCACTACTGGTGATGGAGGAGTGAGGTGTCCCTCACTACTGGTGATGGAGGAGTGAGGTGTCCCTCACTACTGGTGATGGAGGAGTGAGGTGTCCCTCACTACTGGTGATGGAGGAGTGAGGTGTCCCTCACTACTGGTGATGGAGGAGTGAGGTGTCCCTCACTACTGGTGATGGAGGAGTGAGGTGTCCCTCACTACTGGTGATGGAGGAGTGAGGTGTCCCTCACTACTGGTGATGGAGGAGTGAGGTGTCCCTCACTACTGGTGATGGAGGAGTGAGGTGTCTCTCACTACTGGTGATGGAGGAGTGAGGTGTCTCTCACTACTGGTGATGGAGGAGTGAGGTGTCCCTCACTACTGGTGATGGAGGAGTGAGGTGTCCCTCACTACTGGTGATGGAGGAGTGAGGTGTCCCTCACTACTGGTGATGGAGGAGTGAGGTGTCCCTCACTACTGGTGATGGAGGAGTGAGGTGTCTCTCACTACTGGTGATGGAGGAGTGAGGTGTCTCTCACTACTGGTGATGGAGGAGTGAGGTGTCCCTCACTACTGGTGATGGAGGAGTAAGGTGTCCCTCACTACTGGTGATGGAGGAGTGAGGTGTCCCTCACTACTGGTGATGGAGGAGTGAGGTGTCCCTCACTACTGGTGATGGAGGAGTGAGGTGTCCCTCACTACTAGTGATGAAATTCAGGGCAGAATGCTATTAGGAAATGTACTAAGGATGGTTGTTGATAGATAAACAAAGGGTATAGATGGAGGTTGGTTATGATGATGAGAGGAAGGAGGGAAATCATTCGAGAGAAACAGGTAGGTAGACAATCACTATCCATCAGTCAGACAGAGAAATCAAGTGTGTTCTTCAGTCATACTTTCAATGAGAGAGTCTTAATGTCAAGAATAAAGACAGTGAAGCAGTCAGAGAATTAGTAAGCCAAACATCCAGTGATTCACACCAGGTATATAAAGTGGTGTGTGTAGGGAGGAGGAAGAGGGAAGAGAGGTAGAGACCAATAACTCTCTCCGAGGAGAAAGTGTCCCCCCCCCACATCTGGCATAACACATGGAGAGGTGAGCGACACCTGACCCCCCACACCTCCCACACCTGCCAATACAACACACAGCTACAGGCTAGACATTCCCCCCCTCCCCTCACCTCGTAGAATGTCATAACTTTCAGTATGGTAAAAAATTGTACTTGCCCAATATTGAGTCATACATGTTCCCTTGGTAAAATCCTTAGTGACTGATATCTTTGACATCACTCGTCTTTTGTCTTTTTGTTCTGGTATAATATCTAGGAATTTAGTTATATTGTGTGACACAATGGGGGGGGGACCATTAACAAGCCATCTGCTTCATGTCCCCATCCAGGCTACTACTGAGATCATATTAGTCATAATTTATCATATTCTGGAATTGAAGGGTTCTTTTCATAATTAATGTACCTTTGGGCAACCATCTGGCTAGTGGCCAGGATGGGGACAGAAAGCCGGCGGCTTACCTTGTGTTACCCTCCTGGTCTCGCACGGTGTTATTTTAGTGTGCAGAGTTAGAGCCAGTCCCCCCAAATATTTTCCAAATGTAAATTATTATATACCTCTCCTGCCTGCGCTCTAGTGCACACAGATTTAACAAATATAAACGGTCCCAATAATATAGATGTCTTATTGAATGGATCCCAGCAGTAAAAGATCTTTTTATGTTCTCAGGTCAGCAATTTCTCCAGCTTTGAATAGGGCTGTTATTGTGCAATAATATTATACTCTAGACAGTCTAGACAGCACTAGTGTCTTGAAGAGCATCGTTATTGGTATGGTATCTTTTGTTTGAAAAGTTCTCGTTGCCTGAAAAAAAGAAGAGTTGATTGAATTTGCTAGATGGATGAGTCCTTTCAGACAAAATGATATTGTTAGTTTGTGAATTACTTCTTCAAGTGTAGATGTGGACATGAGGCCAGTATGGCAATGAGTGCAAGATGGACTCTCAAGATATGTCTCAAACATTTCTTTCATTCACAATTCAGCTTACTAAGGTTATCATTTTATAGGTCCCATACTTTACTTGTCTACAAGCCTGAACTTTGACTGTTAATCCTTCAGTTACAGAAATTTAATATCGGCTGTATCATATTTTGAAGTAAATGCACTACTTAGTGATATACTCATTAATGTATCTAAGCTTATGTCTTTCTAATGTTGTACTGGCATCTTGAGTAATATATAAGTACTGTATATTGAATTTACTGGTGACTTGAATGGTGCCATACAGCCATGTTGTTATAGTCCCTTCCTCTGATAAGTGTTTATTCTCTCCCATAGAGCCACAGGTACACAACTATACTCTCCCCACAGAGCCACAGGTACACAACTGTACTCTCCCCACAGAGCCACAGGTATACACCTATACTCTCCCCACAGAGCCACAAGTACACACCTATAATCTCCCCACAGAGCCACAGGTACACACCTATACTCTCCCAAGACTGCCACTGCCAATAAACAAATACTGTTATAAATATACTCTACCCACAGCACATCAAGGAGCCCTGGTCACAACCCCGGCAGAAGGTGTCGATGGATTTGTGTCGATCGACGGTCGCAAAACATACTTCGACCTGTTCCCTGCAGCCACTGACACCCAGGTCCTCCCTCAGGTAAGGCAGTATGGGGAAAGGAAGAGAAAGTGAGTAATCCAAGAGAGAGCAACTACAATACAAGGCACTCAGCTACCAACAGTCTCATGATACCTTACCTTGAGGTGATTACCTTGAGGTGATTACCTTGAGGTGATTTCGGGGCTTAGTGGCCCCGCGGCCCAGTCGTCGACCAGGCCTCCTATATATATATATATGATGGCTATACATGAAAAATTTCTTTCCATGATCATTCATTCTTCCTGATGACTCAGTCTTGGAACATGTTCTTTCGAGTACTGTAGATATAGCATTAAATAAAATTTATTCATACAGTAGAATACTGTGGTACAAAATAATACAGTAATAAGCTCGTTAAAGGGAGACAGTACTGTGTGTTTCAAGGGTCAAGCTTCAGATGAACGAATGTAGGATTGCAGCTTTTAGCTGATAGCATTCCTTTTTAGAAATACTAATACTGTACAGTTTATGTTAATGCCTCTTAGTTTAAAAGAGAGAGCAAGTGATTGAGTAGCCAGTAATGAAGTCTTTACTTTCAGCAGCAGACGGCTGGACTGGGTGTTGGCGTAGTGATTCCTGAGGATGATCTTCCTCTTGAGGGTGATGCCTCAAAGCAAGACCTGGGGGGATACTACCCTCCAGCTCAACCCCTCTCCCCACGCCCACAGCCACCCACACCCACACAGCCTCCACCTCGCCCACAGCCGCCCACACACCCACCCAGACCTCTCAGAAAGCCATATAATCGTCGACCAACTCAGCCTTCCATCAGGTACATTTTCTATTTTAATGTGTTTGTAAAAATGTATGTTATATATCAGGTGAGTTTTGTAATTCTTAGTCAAGGATTTGAGTTCCCTCATTAATGTACTTTGAAGCACTGTTGATTTCTCTGTGGTTTGCTAAATTAGTATTTTGTTCCTAAGGGTTCTAAGTTATTGTAAGGAGCTGAATTAACATTGTCAGACATGTTCAATAAATCACTGAACTTGGGCTTTGTGTAAGAATCATCAATAATTATGGGAAAATTGCTTGATAATAAATCATAAATAATTTTTCCTTATTTTCAAACTTTAATAATGATCTAGGCACTTGTATAGTGCCTAGATCATATGAGAGAGTGTGATAAGGAGATGAGAGATTGATAAGGATAGAGAGATTCATTATATTTGAAGGATCTCTTAAACTGGAACCAGACATGGTTGTCACAACAAGAAACACAAGGTCAGTATAAATAGAGTAAAGAGTGAATGGGGGAACAGCGGGGGAGTGGGGGCTCTGTCCTGGAACCTTTATTGTAAGCCATACATGATCTGAATATAAGATGGAAAGATAACTATCAGAAGAAAGCGTCAAGCAATTACGACTATGTAGCACTTGGAAGGGGTCAAGATAAGGATTTGCAATGGACTGGGGAGGAAAGGGATGCTGCCCAACCACTTGGACGGTCAGGGATTGAATGCCGACCTGCATGAAGCGAGACCGTCACTAAACTGTTCAGCCCAAGTGGTTGTGAACAATAACATAAGAAATATGTCTATATATATATCATTAAAATAAGGCATGCAATATGTTCTGATGAAAAGAAAAGCAGTAGAAACCAACCAAAATAGACTGTTTATATTAACTAAATATTTTCAGATGTAGTTCACTACTGACAAGTGTAGAGTTATAGACCTAGGAAATGAAAGACAAGCACCAAAAATGTTTTAAACAATACTGTACTAACAATTCCTAAATGTGAATGTGAGCTGAATGCATAAATGTTTGGAATAAAACAAATAGAGTACAAGAGTTTATATCTAAAACTGTTATTAATAAATGTTCTAATGTCATCTTTCAACTGTGTTGCCACATAACCTCACTATATGGCATAGTTTGGGGAACTGCATTCTAGAATGGATGTACATCCTATTACATTACTGTAAGTGTATTCTGAGAAGGTTGACTAAGTTTACTTTATGAAAAGAGTTTAAGAAAATTGTATTTATATCCCTTAGAAAGTCATAGAGTAAAGCAAGACATGTTTACAATGTACACATGAATGGAAAGGTGCTGTAAATATGAACTTAAAATAGAACACAACAAAATGGATTAAAATTAGATGTTCCATTTTAGAAAGAAATAGGTAAATATTTTTGGAAAAATTGCTACAGATATGTGTACACAGTTTCTAAGCTGCATCATAGAAGTAAACTAACTGTAAACTTTCAAACATATATTATATTGAACAAAGACACATGTAGACTCGAGAGGTTTAGCATATGAATAGTAGCTGCCTTTCATAACTTCAAACAGTTTCACTTATTCGTATGTTATTATAGTAACTTGCATATCAAATCGCTTGTGATATATTTCAGGTAAAATACAAAGTTGTGGCGATAATTTAAAATGTCTTATATGGCAGGATCGACACGTGCATCGTGGGAGATGACTCAACATGCCAAGAGCAGCTGGGAGAAGTCTGCAGGACAGAAGAGGAGGTTTCCAGCTGTTACTGTAGGCCAGGCACAGCTAGACGTAGGCCCAGGACTCCCTGCAGGAGTGAGAGACTTGTAGCTTACCACACCATACACCACCACCACTGTACACCACATACCACCACATTATATACCATGCACCACCACATAGGCCAGGCACCCTGTATGAATGAGAGACTTGCGATGCCTCGCCAAACACCATACCATGCACAACACCACACCTAACCATGAAACTTGAAGTGTCTTACTTCACACCACATTCTACATCACACCATATACAACACATCCCCAACACAGGCCAAGTGTCTCACCAAACTCAGCCACACACCACACCACACCACACAACATAATACACCTCACATCACACCACACAACATACCACACCTCACACCACACCATGTAACATACCACACCACGTGCCATGCCACTCTCACACATACCATTTCACACTACATCATACATTACATCACACACACACTATTGCACTCGCTTTACAATTCAAACACAAAACAGGCCAAGTACTGCCAAGCACAGGCCGTGGGCTCCCTTTAGGAGTGAGAGATTATAATACCTTAACATGGATTGCACCATACAACACCTGTTTATGGCATCTCTTAATGTAGGCTAGGATTTTTTGCAGTCTTACCCTGATCTTAATCTAGAGTGGCCTTGTGCTTACCTAATGTCATCCTAGTGTTAACCCAGTCTTGACTCAGACTTACCCAAATCTTACTCCAGGATCTTGCCTTTGTTTTGACCCATACTTACCCTAGTCTTGACCCCAGTCTTGATCCAGATTTACCCAAATCTCATCCAAGTCCTGACTTAACAGTTATCTTCTTTCTCAGGGATGATCTCGCTGCATGTGTCACTCAAGGTGGACCGAGTGGGGGACCAGCGCATTGTGTGGAGTGGCAACTATGACAACCCAGAGTCTGAGGAATACCGTCTGTTGGAGTGGGAGGCCAAACATGCTGTACGTTCATAGTCTGAAACCCATGTTTAGGATGCATGAATCAGGGGCACAGTATGAGAGTTAGAAGATTACAGTTTGCTGTAGTGGGAGACCAGACATGCTATATTTTAGAGCCTACTTTAGATTCCATGCCCATTGCTGAGGGTGTAGAGATCAGTGCATGGTCAGGGAGGGTAAGATATATATAACCTGTGGACTGTTATATATTATCTGATTAAACAGGATGAGGTATGTGGACTATGATAAACTGTCCTGTCAAACAGGTTGCTAGACACAGGCAGTAAATAAATAACCCAATCCACACGTATGAAATGAAACGAAAGTGATGGCGTTTGGATCTATCACAAACCATTATTAAGTTGGACCAAACATGGTCACTTAAATTTCATTCCATATGTGTGATTCGGATTATTTATTTCAACCACATAATTGTATCATTCTCTGCACAGGCAGTAATATACTGTACAAGTACTCGCCTAGTTGTACTCACCTAGTTGTGCTGGCTCTTTGGTCCCGCCTCTCAACTGTCGATCAATTGATGTACAGATTCCTGAGCCTACTGGGCTCTTATCATATCTACATTTGAAACTGTGTATGGAGTCAACCTCCACCACATCACTTCCTAGCCACATCACCTGTCAGCATGAACAACATGGGCTTTAATGTACCAGCAGTCCCCATGGTGGAGTGGCAAGACACTTTCCTGATGTTTCGCAAGTGCTTTGTCCTGGGTTTGTATCCTGGCCGGGGAGGATTTACTGGGCGACAATCCTTAACTGTAGCCTCTGTTTATCCAGCAGTAAAATGGATACCTGGTTGTTAAACAATTTGGCGGGGTTGTATTCCAGAGAACATAGGATTAAGGACTTGCCTGAAACACTATGCATGCTAGTGGTTGTACAAGAGTGTAAGAACTCTTTGTGTGTGTGTGTGTATAACAAAAAAATAACAATCTGATTGAACACAATTCCAGACACATTACTGTATGTACTTTTCAGAATTCCTTTAGGCTAAATGGAATGTAGCTGGTGGTAATGCTACTGTATACTGGATTGTTTCAGGACTGTGGTGTAGTTTTGGCAGTGGTTGGTATGTGGGACTAGAACCCTCTAAGCCTTGGTTTGAGTCCCCTAAGTATTCTGTACTGTATTTCAATATGAAGAGATCCTACCTAGAATCCCACTAGAATGCTGTACTGAAACACCTTGAGACCCTAGTTAGACTTTGCTAGTATATAGTGCTATGGCACACTAAGACACTATAGTAAGAATCCTGCTAGTGATATTCTTTAACTTGTTAGTTTTACAATACTGTATTGTGAAATTCAGTTATGATAGCTCACAAAAAGGTAGCTGTTTTGTCTTATTGTTTAGAATACAGCAGAGGAAAATTTATCCAGATATAATAATAATAATAATAATAATAATAATAATAATAATAATAATGAAACTAATAATGACAATAAGTTTTAAAAATACTGTATACATATACAGTACAGTACACATAATAATGAAAGTCAGAAAGATACCATCGTTTGCCTAAAAGGTATCCCCACAGACACTTTGAAAAGCAGATCAAAGACATCAGAAAGGATGTATTTTATTTGTAAATTAGAACATGAAACAATATTAATCTTAATGTCTTTGAAATTAATATCACTTGTGCATGACCAGATCTCTAGCACTATGTCGAAGACGCCACTTGGGTCAGCATACCTGGGCAACACAGTGCACAAGTTCTATTCTCTGGGCGGCAAGGTGATTGTCAACTCGACCATCAACCTGGAGGACCTCCCTTCCACCAGAAACCGTAACCTCCGTCATGCCCTCCAGCGCCAGATGCTTCAGGTCATTCAGAGTCATGCAAACAACATAGGCGAGTCTGCCCTCTGGGTCGATGGGCCTCTTAACCCAATTCCGGATGTCTCTGGTGAGGAATAAATTGCTCTTTTGTTCTTTGTTCTGCTATCTTAGATCTGTATTATCTTTGTCCCATTTTAATTGTTTACTCTCTGCTATCTCATGTTTGCTGTGTGCGTCACCCATTTTACTGTTAACAAATTCTGCAGAAAACAAATCCCTGATTTCAAATTTTATGAAAATCACAGGAGGGGGGGGGGAGGGTTTGCAATGAGTCAATATTTCTTAAAGGTGGCACTGGGGCCACCCTGACTAACCTATGACACTCCCATACCCTCCACCTTTCTCCCCTAACATCCCCAACTCTATCCAGCGTCTCCCTCTTCCCCAGCATTCCTCTCCCCCCCCAAAATCCCCCCCCCCCCTGCTCACCTATCCTCCCCTATGAGAAGAGGCTTTAGAAAATCCTTTAGAAAAATATATAAATTCAGGAAAATTTGGCTTATTAGGCAAATTGGTCTTTGCATAGTAGGCCAAGTACGACATTCTGGCTACTAGGTACAACACACACACACACACACACATATATATATATATATATATATATATGTCGTACCTAGTAGCCAGAACTCACTTCTCAGCCTACTATTCAAGGCCCGATTTGCCTAATAAGCCAAGTTTTCCTGAATTAATATATTTACTATAATTTTTTTCTTATGAAATGATAAAGCAACCCTTTTCTCTATGTATGAGGTCAATTTTTTTTTATTGGAGTTAAAATTAACGTAGATATATGACCGAACCTAACCAACCCTACCTAACCTAACCTAACCTATATTTATAGGTAAGGTTAGGTTAGGTAGCCAAAAAAAGCTAGGTTCGGTTAGGTTAGGTAGGTTAGGTAGACGAAAAAACATTAATTCATGAAAACTTGGCTTATTAGGCAAATCGGGCCTTGAATAGTAGGCTGAGAAGTGCGTTCTGGCTATTAGGTACGACATATATATATATATATATATATATATATATATATATATATATATATATATATATATATATATATATATATATATATATATATATATATATATATAATAAATAATGTGCACATGCCAGCCTTGTAATATACATTTAATGGATGTGTCTACAATATATGTCGCTCTTCTGGCAGATGTTAATGAATGTAACGAGGAGTCACTGCATGACTGTCACCCCGACGCCACCTGCATCAATGAATTCGGCACATTCACCTGCCATTGTCTACCCGGGTACACGGACAGGTGAGTTACTCCTTAGCCATGGTTGACCGCTGTATACCCAAGCTCACCATGAACAAGTGTCCATACCCATCCCGCCATGAATAAGTGTCCATACCCATCCCACCATGAACAAGTGTCCATACCCATCCCGCCATGAACAAGTGTCCATACCCATCCTACCATGAACAAGTGTCTATACCGATCCCGCCATGAACAAGTGTCCATACCCATCCCACCATGACCAAGTGTCCATACCCATCCTGCCATGAACAAGTGTCCATACCCATCCCGCTATGAACAAGTGTCCATTGTTGACGAGACCACACACTAGAAAGTGAAGGGACGACGACGTTTCGGTCCATCCTGGACCATTCTCAAGTCGATTGTCGTCCAGGATTGATTCTCAATCGACTTGAGAATGGTCCAGGACGGACCGAAACGTTGTCGTCCCTTCACTTTCTAGTGTGTGGTCTGGTCAACTTACTTCAGCCATGTTATTGTGACTCATCGACTGCAACAAGTGTCTATACCCATCCCGCCATGAACAAGTGTCCATGACCTGCCTACCATGAATAAGTCGCTTAATTTTTCCTCTCAGGCTTTTCTCATTTGCTCATACAATAAAAAGGAAGTGGTTATACAGCTGTACATATCTCTGGTGCACCCCCATTGGGGCTACTGTATCCAAATATGGAGACCTTGTCTTCAAAAGGACATTTCTGTTTTAATGAGTTCATCATTAAGCGACAAAATCATTACAGAACTAAGTCAACTCTCATACCAGGAGAGTTTGAGAAGATCACCAGTACTGTACCACAAACCAGACATGACTGGGCTGATCTCAGAGAGAATTTTTAAATGCAGCATGGTCTGTACTCAGTAATCCAGATCATATGGAGCCCACCCTATCCCTTATGAGTTACAAACTAACATCATTTTTATTTCCACATGCAATAAACATAAATTTACAGTACATACAGTACTCGTATAATTTATTGGTAATGCAGTATAAATTTCAACTTGTTGGAGATAGCTTGCTGGATGAAGGACTTGAGTATTGTTCATTTATCTAACATAACACAACAAAACACTAAAATTACTGTACTATACATGAGCTTGGAAAGATCAGTTGTGAGTGCTAGCTGCTGAGACTTCACTAGTTGAAGACCTTTGGCTTTGCTTGCTCCCTCACTCTCACTAGTAGTTATGTAGTGCAAGTACTGTATTTATTCAGATGTTTCCTTATATTAGAGACAGTACTCGTATCTAGACCCAAATCCTTTGTAACACTCACAGCGGAGTGACCATTTTCATAAAGTTCAATTACTCATAGTTTATCTTTAATAGAAAGCTCAACTTGATTCCTATTAACATCAACACATTGACTGCTGCTTCTACCAGACATGGTCTTGGCAAAAATTATCCAAGTTTGTTTTTAAAACTAAAAAGTTAGGAAAGAAAATATTTAATGAAAAAAAAAGACCCCAATTTTAGCAGGGAAATACACTGTACAGCCTGTACACACAGATTTTAACAAGCTATTATTATTTGTTTAATATTAGATCTTATATTTCTTTATGTATTAATGCATTGTTTAATGTAATTTGTATTATGAGTATACATTTATCATAAATGATTTTTGCATAAATCTCCACATTTTGTTCAGTAACCCAATGACAAAATTCAGTAACCCAAAGTTCCCTTTGATTTGAACAGTGAAGCACTTGAACTTTAATACTTTTTGGTTTCTCGCCTGGCAGAAATCGTGATAACCCAATTTATATTCAAGTTACAAAGTCAGACATTCAAATTTGAATTTATTTGGGGTTCTCATTTTGTATACCTCAATAACCCACCACAAACTGGTGGGTTATTGAGATATTTGACTCCATTTGAGTTAAAAGGTCTAATAAAGTTATAAAACTGAACCCGAATGCAGCAGAATTACTCGAAGATTTATGTTACGAAATATAAATTACTGAGCTCTTACAGTACAGTATTGTACTGAGCTAATTGGAAGATATTAAGCCAAATCACTTCCACTTAAAAGGTCCAATGTTACACAAGGAACAACAGCTTCAACATCAACAAGCCACAGTGTTAGACAAGGAAATGCTGTTTTACCAGTAGGGTAATACACCCATGGAGTTCTATAACAGCTCAAGCTATAAATGCCAAGACAGTATGACCAGTTCAGAATTTAACTGAAAAAAAGTCTGAAATAATGATGGGACTTGACGAGCCACAGTTACCTGTCTCATGTTGAGCCCACAAGGTGTGGTGGCCCTCAGATAAATTTAGATAAATTAAGATAAATTAAAAAGATAAATTCAGGTAGCTTAATGTAAATCTTTCCAAAACAGTTACTGTATTTTTATGGCTGCTCTGAAATTCATATCTTTTAATAAAAATACATTTATGTATTATATTTAGTAAATATTTAATTAGGGCATTTTACTTGTAGGTTTTCTGACGACCCTGAGCAGGTGGGGCGGCGGTGTGAGTCGTGCTCCTCTGACTATTGCAACAAGAAAGGTGAATGTAGCATCCACGGCGGCCATAAGGTGTGCCAGTAAGTAACCCTTCCCTTACTTGCAGGTGTCTGTTCTATTGTCGCTGGCATCACCACGACTGTCATCATCATCACTAAGTTTAATTTAATATACATCACACTTGTGGTAAAAAAATGCTTATCTCTCAAGTTTGTTTGACTTTAAACAAATTTAACTGTTTCTTATTTGGACAAAATAAAGATTTAAAGAAATTTTGATATGTGTTGAGAATACCTTTATAACGTTTTCCATTTTCAGTATGGTAATTTACAGTCTTTTTAAGGACCACACGTTTACTAGTGATGGTGAACAACACACACTTCATGTTGTCTTCTTCATGGATGTGAAATATGGTAGTTATAGATATGATGAAACAAATGCCATAACATTAAAAAAATCTGAATTGTATACGGTTTTTGAGAGAGGAAATACAAGTTAGTTTGTCAACAGATGCCGTGGGTCGTACTACGGGACACGGTGTGAGATTGACGGCGAAGTGTTAGGTGTGGCTGTGGGGGCCTCTGTTGCTGCTGTAGTGATCATCATCCTCACCCTCATCTTCCTCTGCATGTGGAGGTCAGTCATATGTTTTCCATTTTGAATCTTTGTGCATGTGTGTGTGTGGTCCGTTTGCAGTGTTCCGCTGTGAATGTTCAGTTATCATCTTTTAAATGATATGGTGTTTGTCTTCAGTTACAATGTTTTGAGCTGCCATGACTCATTCTCTTAAAAATGAGTCACTGTTCAAAAGATATTTAAGTCAGTGTGTCACTGTGTGTGTGCATACATGCATAATTACCTAAGAGTGTGCGTGTGTTCTTTTATCTTGGAACTATTAGTATACACTATTCCTTATCTTGCTGTTGCTTAAGAGAAGCTTCTCTCTTCCCTGGTGCTGCTGTTGCTCCTGACACAGCCGACGATGGAAAGCTGAAGATAGGAAAACTGAGGTGCTGGCCCGTGGAGGAGGCATGGGTACGTTTGCTGTCAATGTCCAACATAAGGGAGCCTCAGCAGGTCATCAGTACGGCGCCACCCTTGATGACCGCATGCGATGGGCACACCTTGCTGACACACTCTCCAATCAGAACATTTATGCAGTAAGTCTTGGGTTATAGCTGATGCTCTCTATGTAACATGTTTTACAATCAAAATATTTAAGTGGTTCAAGTCCAAGGTTTTGGGCTTTTCTTGGGCTGCCTTACAAGCTTTCCAAGTAGAACATTTAATTAGTAAGTCATGGACTCAGATAGGTGGGCTGCCTTCAATAAGCAAACTTCAAACTTCCACTGAACTAAAATCATTGAAACCTGCCACTTTCACAATGAAAACCAGCCATGCAATTTCTTCCCAAATTGACCCATTGACTTACCCACAGCCCAAACTGTTTCACTTGGTAAACATTTACTATGAGATTCTTTATTAATCAAATAAACCAGTACTCGTGTTAAACTTAGATGAAAGACTTGACCAGTTGCTGAACAAACATGACAGAACTTGCATGGAGAAACATGGACTGTGATTTGCTCTTGTATTTTGATCTGTCCTCTCAAACATTTACTTAAATTTTGACTTAACCAATTCTTGACTGTCAGTTGTATATGGGGTAAATAGCCTGACCTCTAACTTTGGAACAGCAGCAGCAACAGCAGTATGGTGGCGGAGGCGTGTATACAGCATCAAGCAGCGATTATCTCACCTCATCTGGGGCCTCCAATACCCCCTTCTCCATCTACAATCGTGTCACCCGGGCCCTCTCCAACTCCACCCTGGGAAGGCAGCAGGTGGGCTGGCTGGGACGTGTTCGGAGAGCTTTGGGTGGCTCTAGGGCAGCCATGACCCGCAGGTCAGCCCACACACCACCCACGCAGCCCACTCTCACGCTACAGCAACTTATGGCCCTTCATGCTCAACTGTCTCCCGTTAGTTGACGTTGCACCTCGTTCTTCGACTGTTTCTTTATCTCTCTCGTGTGTGTGTGTGTGTGTGTAATTACCTAAGTGTAGTTATAGGATGAGAGGTACGGCTCGTGGTGTCCCGTCTCCCCCAGCACACTGTCATATAATGCTTTGAAATTACTGACGGTTTTGGCCTCCACCACCTTCTCACCTAACTTGTTCCAACCATCTACCACTCTGTTTACAAAAGTGAATTTTCTTATAATTCTCCGGCAGCTTTGTTTCGTGAGTTTAAATCTATGACCTCTTGTTCTTGAAGTTCCAGGTCTTAGGGAATTCATCCCTATCAATTTTATCGATTCCCGTTACTATCTTGTATGTAGTGATCATATCACCTCTTTTTCTTCTATCACATATTTCTTTTTCTTCTATCTTCTATCAAATATGTTTTGGCATATTTAATGCCTCTAACCTCTCCTGGTAGCTCTTGTCCTTCAGTTCATGGAGCCTTGGATGCTAGTGACATGTCTTTGCACCTTCCCAATTTGTTGATGTGCTTCTTCAGATATGGGCACCATACAACCGCTGCATATTCCAGCTTTGGCCTAACAAAAGTAGTGAACAATTTCTTTAGTATTTTGCCATCCATGTATTTAAAAGCAATTCTGAAGTTAGAAAGTGTAGCATAGGCTCCTCGCACGATGTTCTTTATGTGGTCCTTAGGTGATAGTTTTCTATCTAGAACCACCTCTAGATCTCTTTCTTTATCAGAATTTTAAGATTTCTCAAATAATTTATAGGTTGCTATGTTCTCCTCTTCCACATTCCATAACATGGCATTTATTCACATTAAATTAAATTTGCCAAGTGGTGCTCTATACACATATTGTGTCCAGGTCTTTTTGAAAGGCATGACAATTGTCCAAGTTTCTTATCTTCCCTATTATCTTAGCATCATCAGCAATCATGTTCATATATTATAATTCTTCCTTCTGGTAGGTCGTTTATACAGATCATGAACATTACCGGTGCAAGAACTGAACCTATTGGTACTCCACTCATGACATTTCTCCAGTCCAATACATTGCATCTGATTACTGCCCTCATTTTTCTGCCAGAAAATTTTCATCCATGTTAGAAGCTTCCCTGTCACTCCTCCAGTATGTTCCAGTTTCCAGAACAACCTCTTGTATGGAATGCTGTCGAAAGCCTTTTTAAGGTCCAGATAGATGCAGATAGAAGAAAAACAAACTGCAGATGTGATATACATAGACTTCGCAAAGACATTTGATAAATCTGACCATGGAGTGATAGCACACAAAATGAAGTCAATGGGAATAACAGCTAAAGTGGGACGGTGAATATTTAATTTTCTGTCAAACAGAACACAAAAATTAACAGTCAACAAAATAGTCAAAGTGCAGTTAAAAGCTCTGTACCTCAGGGTACAGTCTTTGCACCACTGCTTTTCCATATTCTCATATCAGATATAGACAAAAATACAAGTCACAGCTTCATATCATCCTTTGCAGATGACACAAAAATCATCATGAAAATTACCTCTGCTAAAGACATTGAAAAACTACAAGCAGATGTTAATAAAGTTTTCAACTGAGCAGCAGAAAATAACATGATGTTTAACAGCGATAAATTCCAAGTACAGTACAGTGGTACTTTCGTTTACGATCGTAATCCATTCCCAGAGCGTGTCATCAACCAAAACGAATTTTCCCATAAGAAATAATGTAAATTGAATTAATCCGTTCCACACCCACAAAAATATTAACTTAAACGTACATTTTATACAGAATAATACTCAGATTTTTCATATACAAAACAATCGGGTACAGTATAAATATACTGTAAACCATAAATAAAATAAATGAACATATAACTGCACCTCACCTTTACTAAGGAATCTTGTTGACGTATGTAAGACAGTGAGGAGGGACGGAGGAGCGGTGTTGGTGTATGGGGAGGGTGAGGAAGGGGGAGGAGGCGAGACCATTCCCTGCTCACCTTAAGCACATTCATATCTGCACTACTGGTTCCAAATTTTCTTTTCAAACATTTCACTGCCTCTCTTATGTGGCAGCCAGTCAGAACCAGTCACTTACAGTCACTAGTCAGTCTTGCATTTCAAGCATTCACAGGTGTGGTAGCAACCGGTTAGGTATTTACAGTCATTTAGGCATTTACAGTCAGTCAGCCATTTACAGTCAATCAGGCTTTCACAGTCAGTAAACAACAAGAGTTTAATATCATCAGCAGTCTGAGGCAGTCTGCCTTCGATCCACCAGTTGGTAGCAAGGAAGCGTTGTGTATTAATAAGATCCAGATGTGGCTGAGAAGGTAAAGCTGGGAGAGGGGGGATGGAGGTAGCGGGAAAGGTCCAGTGACAGGATGGGGGTAGTGGGGAGGGGGGGATGTGGGGACAAAGGTAGCAGGGAGGGACCAGTGGTGGGTAGAGGGTAGCAGGGAAGGTGTGGTGTAGGGGATGGAGGTTCTCCCCACCATCCATCCAGTCCCCCCTCCCCCTATCCATCCATCCAGCATTCCCCCCACCAGTGGGGCCTGATAGCTGAGTGGACAGCGCTTCGGATTCTTGAGGTTATCTTGAGTCCAATTCATAGTCCTGAGGCTCAGGGTTCGATCCCCAGTAAGGACGGAAACAAATGGGCAGAGTTTCTTTCACCCTGATGCACCTGTTACCTAGCAGTAATTAGATACCTGGGAGTTAGACAGCTGCTACAGGCTGCTTCCTGGGGGTGTGTAACAAAATAGAGGCCTGGTCGAGGACTGGGCTGCGTGGACGCTAAGCCCGAAAACATCTCAAGATAATCATCCCCTCCATCCATCCAGCTCCGACACCATCCAGTTCCCCCACCATCCATCTATCTAGTCCTTCCATCCATCCAGTTCCCCCCACCATCCCTCTATCTAGTCCTTCCATCCATTCAGTCCCCCTTCACCATCCATCCATCCATCCACCTCCAATCAATCCATAAAGTCCCCTCACCATCCATCCATCTCTCCTATCCATCCATCCAGTCCCCTCACCATCCATCCAGTCCCCTCACCATCCATCCAGTCCCCTCACCATTTATCCAGTCCCCTCACCATCCATCCAGTTCTCTCACAATCCATCCAGTCCTCTCACCATTCATCTTGGGACCCATTGCATGATATATAATAAGACCTTTTATGTTAAAAAAAGCAAAATGGCAGACAAACAATGAAATTCTTCACAAATAATTCAAAGTGCGGCCGCAGTCGTCACTACGTGCGATAGACTTTGTAAACAAACTGAGAGCTCCTCACCCCGCGCCCCCAGCACCACGTGCTTGTTCGACCCATATATGTTCGAACAGATGACGTCTTCCAAGTAAACTGTCATGTACCAATTTAAATTTTACGACAAATTTGACGTCGTGTTCCAAAAAATTTGTCTTCTAGGGCAGTCATCAACTAAGGTTTCACTGTACTCGGGTATGGTTAAAACGAGGACCATAAACAAAATACAGGGTACAAAGCGCAATCAAATCTGCCCATAATATGAAAGCAGCATGTAAAGGATTTGGGATTAATGATGTCTGACTGTTTATCTACTTTCTGAATTTGTTTTCTTCTGGCATCTTCATGTAATTTTTGTTTATTATGACCTTAAATGGCAGTCTTGCTCCCTGTAATGGTACGTTATGACAACTTCCCTATAGAGTATCGCTATGGTGTAACCCGTCTGTCTAGGTGACCTTACAATGCACAGATACCTCCCTTTACTTGACATTATGATACAACCTATCTCCCTGCAGTGTGACCTTATGACTCATCTTCCCTCCGCCTAGCATGATACATCCTTCCTCTCTCTATTTAGTGTGACCTGTTGATGTAAACCTCCTTTCTGACCAACTGTCACTACCACTACTGTGATCTCAGTGCCTGAGACTACTACCACATTGGTCTCTTTCATCCCAGTAACCACCTCAATGGTCTCTTCCATCCCAGTGACCACCTCAATGGTCTCTTCCATCCCAGTGACCTCCTCAATGGTCTCTTCCATCCCAGTGACCACCTCAATGGTCTCTTCCATCCCAGTGACCACCTCAATGGTCTCTTCCATCCCAGTGACCACCTCAATGATCTCTTCCATCCCAGTGACCTCCTCAATGGTGTCTTCCATCCCAGTAACCACCTCAATGGTCTCTTCCATCCCAGTAACCACCTCAATGGTCTCTTCCATCCCAGTAACCACCTCAATGGTCTCTTCCATCCCAGTGACCACCTCAATGGTCTCTTCCATCCCAGTGACCTCCTCAATGGTGTCTTCCAATCCAGTGACCTCCTCAATGGTGTCTTCCATCCCAGTAACCACCTCAATGGTCTCTTCCATCCCAGTAACCACCTCAATGGTCTCTTCCATCCCAGTGACCACCTCAATGGTCTCTTCCATCCCAGTGACCACCTCAATGGTCTCTTCCATCCCAGTGACCTCCTCAATGGTCTCTTCCATCCCAGTGACCTCCTCAATGGTCTCTTCCATCCCAGTAACCACCTCAATGGTCTCTTCCATCCCAGTGACCACCTCAATGGTCTCTTCCATCCCAGTGACCTCCTCAATGGTCTCTTCCATCCCAGTAACCACCTCAATGGTCTCTTCCATCCCAGTAACCACCTCAATGGTCTCTTGCATCCCAGTGACCACCTCAATGGTCTCCATCCATGTGACCACTACCACAGTGGTCCTGTCCATCCCTACCTCAACTATCGCAGTGGTCTCCATCGTCGGCACAACGACCACAGTGGTTACCATATTTGTTCATTAGTTCTATTATTTGTTTACCTTTAATTCTTCCGCTTTATCTATTTAATTTATAAACAAAGTCAATATTACTGTAAATAACATAATAACGACTGCAATGAGTGATCAATAGGAAACTACCGAGTGACGGATAATAGTACTGTATACAAATATAAAGTAGGAGACCCCTATAGAATACAGTAAGTAGACAATAGGTAATATACAA